CTCCCAATTACAGCATGTACTGTAATAAGTGCAATTGCACAGTAAGTACCTCCCAATTACCATGTACACGCCATACTGTAATGATTGTAATTGCATAATAAGTACCTCCCAATTACCCACAGGGTATACATCTCATTACTCCATACATATTAAAGTAATAATAATAATAATAATAATAATAATAATAATAATAATAATAATAATAATAATAATAATAATAATAATAATAATAATAATAATAATAATAATAATAATAATAATAATAATAATAATAATAATAATAATAAATAATAATAATAATAATAATAATAATAATAATAATAATAATAATAATAATAATAATAATAATAATAATAATAATAATAATAATAATAATAATAATAATAATAATAATAATAATAATAATAATAATAATAATAATAATAATAATAATAATAATAATAATAATAATAATAATAATAATAATAATAATAATAATAATAATAATAATAATAATAATAATAATAATAATAATAATAATAATAATAATAATAATAATAATAATAATTTATTATTTACCATATAAAACAAAGATATACAAAGTAGTAACTCTAAAAATATTGCCTAGAGAGATAAAAACGTATGGTAAATAAAAGGTTAAAGTTAGGTCATGGACCGATTCTGCCACAATAACCTTAAAAAAAAGGAAAAAGATATTTAAGTTTTACCACCCTTATAACAAATACGTAAATAACAAAAAAAATATATATATATTCTAATTGTTTTAAAAAGTACTAAATGAAGAAATCACAGATTCAGAGTTCAAAATTGTAAAATTCACAATTCACAATTGTAGGTTCTATTAGATCATTAATTATCATTTAACGTAATATGGTACATTTGAATGTTTAGTATTTTAGTTAGTGCTGTTTAGGGAACAGACGTTTTTTATGTTTTTTTCTAAATGAATTTAGAGATTGAGATATTTCGTGTTGGTCGAACATGTAACCAAAATGCGCAATTTGATAGGAAAATGAGCGTTTAAATATTTGTTTGTTATGTCTAGGAATAGTTATTATATTATTGGTTCTTAGTTGTAAATTATGGACCTCTGTTCTAAAGGTGATCTTTTCATAAAGATATTCAGGAGTTTTGTGCTTTAGAATTTTGTAATAAAAAGATAAAGAATGCAAGATTCTCCTATTATACATGCTTAACCAGCCAATATCTTTTAACTTATATGATATCCTTTGAGGTCTCTTAATACCGAATATCATGCGAAGGCAGGAATTTTGCACTTTTTGTATTCTTCCGATATCACTACTATCAATGCAGGCAGAATATACAACATCACAATGATTAAAGTGAGATAGAATTAATGAGTCACATAATGTTTTTTTTATTTCATAATTTAAACTAGTCCTATGTTGATATATCAACTTCAGTGCGGAATACGCTCTTCTAAGTTTTTCAGTCACATGATTTTTAAACCTAATTTTAGAATCAATGATTAAACCTAAATTTTTACAATTATCACTAAAAGTTAATATATCGGGACCAAGAACAATATTAAGTTGATTGATTGCTGTCGATTTTTGAAGTTCACTACCAAACACCATTGCACATGATTTACTTGTATTAATAGAGAGGAGGTGACTAGTAGAGAAGGAAATTACTGATTCTAGATCTTGATTGATTTGGTTATTAGCTTCTAAAAGGTTTTCTAATTTAAAATTAAGATATAATTGCGTATCATCAGCATACATATGGTATTTACAATAGTTTAAAACAGTTGGAAAGTTGGACGTGTATAATGTATATAACAAGGGGCCAAGTATACTTCCCTGAGGAACTCCTTGTTCAATATTTATTGATTTTGAAATGTCTTCTTCTAATTTAACACACTGACTTCGATTATTTAAGTAAGAGGACAAGAAAGAACAAGCAGATGTACTAAATCCGAGGTAATGGAGTATAGATAACAGAAGTTGATGG